AGGACAACATAAGATTTGTTGTTGCTTATAAGATTAAATATACTAAGTTACTAATACTAAATTTTCTTTCTTGGGTTGTGAACTTAACCCTCTAAACGTATGTGTTGTTTCACTGAACTAGGTTACTAATTCTCTATGTTATTTACTGCTTTTTGCTCCATCATATTGTATAAGTATTATTGTCATACTGGTATAACTTGTTGGACCAATTATTCTAACATCGTCTACAATATTTATCTCCAGAGGAACAAATTTTCATTTTTAGATGTCAGTGTTCTGCGCAAGATCATATGACTTTACCAAAACTTATCTCGTGTTGTTCTGTTACAAGCTATGAATGAAGTCTTTGGACCAAGAGAATAACTTTAACAAGCCTTGTGAGAGGTTCCAAGCCACTGAGACGTGCACCCTCCTAACGTCTCCAGAGAAGGTGAAGAAAAATTCAAAGAATCTCTTACTTGAGAAATCACCCACATTCCCCTAAATCTTTTGATAATGTAGAAAGCTTGGAGCGCAATCTAACTGCCGAGATATGAAGCATTTTTATCAAGGGATTCAACCATGAAGGTTGTGTTTGCACGCATCAACTTTGACTTGAAACTCTTTTTCTAATATTGTGATTGAGAGGCGATCCCTTTTAAAACTGGTTGAGGCAAAGTGATGTTGGTATGTTACACACTCCATTGTGGACCTGGGCGGAAGTATTTGGATATAGGGCATATGTTAGAATAATGGTGTTTGTTTAAGTGTTGAATCTGGTGCAATTCTACGATACTAAAAGGTTTCATTGTTAATTGGTGAATTAATCAGCTTAATCAAAACTATAGTGGAAGATGATAAACAATGTTATGTTAGAAATAACAAATTTAAATTTATACATCATCTTTTTGGTTAAATTACGGATTATAAAATACCAATCTTGTTATATAAATTTTGTTTCAATATAATTTGTTTGTTTCAGCATCTTAATATCTATGTTGTCTAAATTTAAATATATTTAAGGTGTATAATTCTAAATTTATATAATAATACGGAAGACTTGTGTTGTTAAACAAAAAAAATTACATACAAGGAAAACAAATTGAAAATATTTATATGTGTGAATAAATTAAATATAATAATTAGAATTGACTAATAAAAAAATAGAAAAGAAGAATTTTATATTTTAATTATGATCATAATAAATAAAAGTAGGTTAAAATGAAAGCTAGTCAAAAATATTAATGAGAATACTAATTTAGTTGATGAAAGAATTATGGACAAGATAGAAAATAACTATTAAAATATATCAATATTTGAAATAAAAAATAAAGCTAGAATAAAATAATAATTTAATTTAATTTGTTTTAAATTAATTTATATTTATATCAATAAATAAGAGTTAATATGAATATTATGTCAATAATCATTAAAAAAATATTGATTTAACTTTATAAGATTTAAAATAATAAATATCCCTTTCAACTTTTAAGAAAACAACTCAACTATTAAATAGTCAGTAATAAAAATTTGACTTTATAATTTGAAAGGATATGGTTCAAATCTCATCTTCCACAATCATAATTGTAAAATAGTTATTAATTTTATTTGTATTGATAAAAGAATCCATTTAATAATAATAATAATAATAATAATAATAATAATAATAATAATAATAATAATAATAATAATAATAATAATAATAATAATAATAATAATAATAATAATAATTATTATTATTATTATTATTATTATTATTATAATTATGACTATTATAATATAAAAAGCATTAAAAAACTACAAACAAAAATAATTTGTGCGTGTAACTTTAACAATTGCAGTAATAAACAGTATTTGTAAAAAAACATAATAACAAAATTAGAATATAATATTATTGTGGTTATAATTAATCATATTAAAACTAAAAATTTTATAGATATTTTAAATAAAAATATTTTTACAATAAAATTAAATATAATCATATAAAATTAAATTTTAAATGGAAAGAAAATTTAAATAAACATTAGTTTTAATTAAATTTCAAATGAAGACCCACAAAGTATATCTGAGGGCGTAATTTTTAAATCCATTTTAAAGTAGTAATTGAAAAAGTGGAAATTATTACACTTTAATGGTCATTTAATAATTATCTTATATGCAGTAAGAGTGAAGCATTGTATCTTCATTGTATTGAGCCCAAATACCATTGTTCATATTAAAATAATTTAAAATACCATTGTTCATATTAAAATAATTTAAAATACCATTGTTCATATTAAAATAATTTAAAATACCATTTGTACCACTTTAATTAGTAAAAAAAACATCTCTCTCGAATTTTTCATTTTTATAGAAACTTAATTGGAAAAACTTCATAAACTAAGTTTTTTTATTTATATTTCACTACTTTCTATACAAAATTAATATATATTTTTTTCAAAAGTCTTAGGTTATATTTGGTAAATATAGTCGTTGATTGATAAACTAATTGATGATTTATAGTTAATAATTGATGTCTGATAGTTTATAATTTATATCTCATGACTGTCGATTTATAGTTGATATATTAATTGAAATGTTTAATAAAATTAAAATAAATAATTATTTTATTTGAAATTAAAATAAATCCTAAAAATTAAAAATAAACTTTAATTTTAAAATAAAGATAAAAGTGGTAGAAAAAATGATAAATTATAAGATATAAATTAAAAATACTATTTAAATAACGTCTAAAAAATAAATTATAAATCAATAAAATAAAATATAAATTCGTGATAAAAAATCATTATTAAATATATTTTTATTATCATATAAATTTATAATTTATAAATTATAAACTAGAAAAATATCATGTCAACCATAAACTTTAAAAATAATGTTAAAATCAATATATATATATATATATATATATATATATATATATATATATATATATATATATATATATATATATATATATATATATATATATATATATATATATATATATATATATATATATATATATATATATATATATATATATATATATATATATATATATATATATATATATATATATATATATATATATATATATATATATATATAACTCAAGTGATAGATCAACTATTCAACCTTTATAATTATAACTCAAGTGATAGATCAACTATTCAACCTTTAATTAGTTGATCACTTAATATTTATAAATCAACAATTTTTTTAATAAAAAAGTGATAGGTCAGCTAATACAAATTTTTTATTATTGTTACAACCTAGTAGTTTGGTTGTAAGGATAATTTATTGGAAGGATATTAGACACTAAATATAAGTATGTCTCTCACAATGTTTATCGAATCGTCTAATTTAATTGATTGGACTAGGAACCGAGATAATTCTAGTCTGATTAGTGTTACAAAATTGTAGGTGTGTTAAATCAGAGTAAAATAAAAAAAAATTCAATTAAACTGTTCGAAATTATTTGAACTAAAGAATCGGAATTGGTTTTATAAAATTGTTCGGTTCAAAAAATTATTTATCATTGATTAATTTTAATATTTTTTGAATAAAAAAATTGAAAATTACTATTATGTTAGCATCAATAATTAAAACATTTTCCCTTCGTAAGAAAGCAACACAAATTTCTAAATTATAATATTATGTTATAATTTTATTTCTTTAAACACACCATTATATTATGTAATTATGTCTATCATTGATCTCATATTAATTTGTAATGAATTTTTAAAATATTTATTTCAAAAGTTTGTGAATATTTGATTATGTAAATTATCTATAAAATTTAGTTTTATATTATTAACTTATTTAATAAATGAATCTTAAATCGAAAATTATACCGGTTCGATATTCTGTCCGGTTTTTAAAACATTGGTCTCTCAATTTGAATTCAAATCTTAGTTCTCCATGTTTGAGTAGCCTGACCCTTTTTGCTACTCATGTTGAAAAATAAAATACATTTCAACAATCCGACTAAAAAATATTTAATTTAATGTATGATTTTTACTAACGACTATTTTAAGGTACTCTTCAATTAAAGTTTCTGTATAAAGATTTTTTTTACATCGAGTCTTTCAATTCGCAATGTATTGAATACACAATTTTTTTATAGAAACTTACCATTCTAAATCCTTAAAGAGTTTCATTAGATTTTATTTGGAAAAGAATCAAGGCAAAGAATAGAAGAATTTATGTGGGACGAGTTTTAGGGAATTTATTTTTATTCAAAAATTAAAATTTTGGAGGAGGAGTTTAGAGGATTTTAGAAAGCTTAGACAAATGATTCAAATACTATCTCTGTTCTTTATTATAAGTCGTTTAGAATCTTTCACACATATTAAGAAAAATTTAATTGTTGCATGAAAATGAGAAATTATAAAGATTTTTATAAAATTATCCTTTATTAATAATATATGGAAGATAACTTTATATAATTGAAAAGCGAGAGAATAATAAATATTTTAGGATATAATAGGAAAAATACCATTAATTATTCATTGGAATTGTAAAGCGACTTATATTGTAGTACAATATTTTTTTTCCAAAACGACTTATAATAAAAAACCGAGGAAATATAATTTATGTTGTTATATTACTCCAAAAATTAAAAATATAATAATATTTTATCATTCTACACAAAATCTTTTTTTTCAAAAAATATTAAAGATTCTCTATATTTATTTTCAAATTATCTTTCAAAACCCTCAATTTTCCTCGTCTCCAAATTCTCAAACGAAGCCGTTGGGCTTGATGATTTTTGACAAAAGATTTTTAATTAATTGTTAATATAACACACAAATTTTAAAATATTAAATAATATGTTCTTAAATTTTTTTCTTTTTTTAAATCGGAAATTATATCTAATATCCAAACAAAGACTTAATAATGTCTGAGGTATAACTCTATAAAAGCCTAATGATACAAGGAAAATAACATAGACGCAAAATTTGGTTCCTTGTTTTTTTTTCCGAAACTCTGTCGCGACTGGGAATAAGAAGAAGGTGAATTGCGCTCGTACGAAAAGAATGAAGGGTGATTCAAAGAAGGTAAGGAAAATTGCAACTCTTTTTATTATTTCAACCATTGTTATAATTTTCATCCTTTTTAGTTCTAAAATTTAGGTCTCTCATAATTCACAGGAACAGAACCAAGATATTGAGGGGTATCAGAGTTCATCTGTGGTAGATGAAACAAAGAATGTAAACCAAGAGAGTTTCATCCAACAGAAAATTGTTGAAGCTAGAGACAAATTGGAGAAGCAGAGAAAAGACAATCGTAAGAAAGAGATGGATCTTCTTATGATCAAAAGCATGCAAAATCCAAATCTGATAGCCAACCTCACTATTGATGATACAATTGATATCAACAAGATGATAGATGAGAAAATTAAGGAGATTGATGCTAAGATTGCTTCACTCGATTGATCGAATGCTATTTGAAACTATTTATCATGATTATGAATAAAATTGGTTGATCTGAATAAAACTCATAATAAACTTCTTCTTTTTTATAATTCTACTATCAAGAGTTAGTGTTCAAATTTGATAATTTAACTTAATACTTTTTATAACATTAGTATATTCATTAAAATACAAATAGGTAGAACTAATTTCAATTTCAGTCAAAATTACGACTCTAATGTAGGCATTTAATTAAAATTGTTTATTGCAACTCTAAATATTAACTATCATTTATTTTGGAATACAAGAGGGCGTAAGCTCAAGGAAAAAACAAACTACAATATAACAATCCTACTGTAACAAATACCAACAAGACATGGTAAAAAGGAAAAACTCGGCTCTTTAGGGCACACATCATAAAAGTGAATTCCATATTTATGTCTCACTCCTAAACTTACAAGTGAATTTTCACATTTATTCGCTTCACGGTATATAAGAGTAATATGAACCTCCCAATCTCGATTTATCAAGATATTGATTCTTTGAAGTAGGCTCCAACCAACTCTCATCTTGTAGTTCGTGGTAGTAAGAGCTAAGTGTGAAGGTTAAGAAAACACAAGAAATGGGGGGTTTGAATTGGGTTTCTAGAATGGAACTTTTTCGTGGCCCAAAATAAAGAACGAAGGACTTAGAATAAAAATAATGAACACAATATTTTTATCATGGTTTCTGGTTAAAGAAGCAACCTCCAATCCACCCGCCAAGGTGATTTCGCCTTGTCACAAAGATTTAATCCACTATAACTAAACTTGATTACAACCACAGAGATGTCGATGTCTTCTTGAGACTTCTTACTATACCCTAGTCTCTCAAGGAATAATAACTCAAAAGTTGAGATATAAAATGTGTGTTTACATTGATGCTTCTATGAAAGCAGATTACACAAATGTAATACAATGATTGACACAAAAGTGTTTTGAGCAACTGTATGAACAAAGGTTGTAGAACCTTATTTTTCAGGAAATAGGTTGTTGGTTTGATGATGACAACTCTTTAGCATGACAAAGATGAAATATAATAACAACTTCAAAGTACATAACAGACATTCAACATATTGAAGATTCAATGAGTTTTTGTTTTGACTATAAAGGAGAAAATAGATAATCAGCATGATAGAGATGAAAAGATGACAAATGTAAAAGAGTAGATAAAATAATATTTAGCATACTAAAGATGCAACCATTTAGAATGTCAACCAATATACTCAAAAAGGGTAAATATGCAATCCATAAGGATTGATGTTGATTGACAGAGTCTCAGTTGATAAATGAATAACAAGGGTCTAGAATAAAACAAAGATTCAGACAAAGGAAAACAAATAGATTATATCAAGAGCCTCAAAAGGAGTTTTCAAGAAAATGTAAACCTAATGGATACACCAGACCCAGGCTTAGGAAAGTTATCATAATTTAGGAAGTGAGTGAAAAGCAAAAGTTTTTTATTTATAAAAGTAAATAGCTATAAGCGCGCGCACACACACACACACACACACTTAAAACATTTTTATAAATTGTTTTTTAAATAAAAGTTCTTTGAAGAAATATATAGAAGTTGCTTAGAAAGTGATGGGAACATTCAAAATCCATAAAAATTGTTTTAATTGGATTCAATCGATTAGCACAAAGTGTCAATCGATTAGATTAGAGCGTTCTTGAGAAACAAGGCATTTTGAATATACTCAAACGATTAGAAACATTTGTATATAAATTCTTACCTATTTTGGAAAACATAGTCGTTACATTTAAATGATTTAGTCGATTAGTCTAATCGATTAGTAACAGTCATTTTCTATTTAATTATGTTTCCTCTTTTGGAGGATTTAGAGCCTATAAATAGAGATCTCATTCTTAGGTTCAAACCATCCATAAGAGGGATTGTCTATTGAGGCACTCTCTCTCTAAGTTTTAATTTTTACTTTCTCTCACAGTTCTTATAGTCAAATACCTTTGTGAGGAAAGATATTTTGTTAGTAAGATGTTGTTATAATTCTAGATGGGTAGTAATTTAAAAGTTCTTCAAAGTTGTTTTTTATTCCCCCTGGATAACAAAATTCATTTTAGGGATAAAATATGTGTGTTGTACCCCAATTTCCCCCCTAAGATTCCTCTATCATCTCATATCAACTCCATCACAATAAGATCACACTAGGGTTTGGTTCATCTCCCTATCTTTAAGTTTTCTCATGAGGAATCACCAAGCACCTTGATTTGTATATTGTGATCATATTTGTTTTGTATTGGTTAATTTTTAACTAACAAATACAATGAGTGTTTTCTCTAATTGATGATCCTATAGGTAAGGGCATAACACATTTCATCAATTTGATTTATAGGTTCATGAGTTTATTTCCATGCCTTATTTAATAAAGCTTTATTGAGATTCAAGCTCCATCATTGAATATTATTTGAAGTAACATCATGATAAGGTCTACTGTGATTCATCATGCCTCAATTTGTCAAATAAAATTAAAAGATGCAAGAGTTGATTGAAGAAGTTTGACCTAATTGGACAAGTTCTTGATTCCTTGGTCACAAGTGCATAAATCTCTCAATTATTAATATTTGGAGGTGGTTTTTGGTGCTATGGTTTATTATTATCATCCACAACAACTTCTATTCACATGGAAAAAGTTATTATGCAAGAAAGTTTATCAAAATTGAAAGGGGTTTCTAAGTCATTTTGGTGCTCTAGAAGCTAGGGTTTTGAACTTCCAAGGGCTATATCTTGCTCATATTTTGGTATTTTTGAGTGATTCTAAAGACATACTTCTCTTTAAAGAGTTATTAATCAATCACTTCAAAAGTTTCAAGAAAATTTTATGTGTAAAATGCTTAATGATGAAGAAAGATTACAAGTCCTCTAGATAAGCCACCAAATTCCCTTAGGTGACTTTAAAAGATCATAACTTGGTCAACTTTTATCTCCTTGAGCCTATTCTTTTTCCACAATGATCTTAAGTATGTGAATGGTTAACTCTTATTTTACGTGCAAAGCTTAAAAATGGATGGAGGATGCCCTAAGAATGCAAAAGATTATAGGCCATCTCATGAATTTTCACCAACTTCACAAAGTCATAACTTTCTCAATTCTTAGAGTTTTTAAGTGATTCAAATCTCAAAATTTCATTTAAGAGATCAACTTCATGCTATCTTTTTTTGTCAAAAGCAAATTTTTAGTGAAAGGCTATGTTTGGATGCAAAATATTATAGGACATTTTTTGAGAAAAACTTAGATTTTTTCTAAGTAGAAAGAGTCAACATCTTTTTCTCAACTTTGAATCATCATAACTATTAGCTCAAGCATTCATTTGATTCCATTCTTTTCACATTGTAAAGATTGTAACCTTATCTTTAAAATGCTTCAAGAATTATGCCTTAAGACCCCTTGAGCTATGAACACCATGGATTCAAAGTTGGTACCTTGAAACTGAAGTTTTCTCCAAAGTCAGAATTTGAAATATACAATTTAGCTTCTAATCACTAAATTTCTGCATGTTTTTAATTCTAATCATGTTTAATAATCTTTCAGAAGTGATTAGCACCTTGAAACACAAGTTTTGGTTGAGTTTTGAGAAAAATAGAAGTCACACTTTTCATGCTTGCAACTTCACACAATTTCCCTCCAAACTGCATCATTCCACACGCTTGAGCATCCCAGTTATTTCCCTATAAATAAAGGGTTATATCTCACTCATTTTCTCAAGATTGAACAACCAAAATGACCCTTCCAAACTCCCTGCATAACTGACTTTTCTGAACTTTTGAATTCATATTTTCTCCACTTTTCAATCCAATTTTTTCATTGATCCTTCATCCTTGAACTTCCCTAAAGCTAACAGAAGAAGAATCGAGCTTTGAGGTGTACTAAATCGTGCTAACTAAGTCCAGTTCTAGAACAATTTTTAGTTACTTCGTTCAGGTATAATTCTCAATCAGTTTGAACCAAATAAAGCCTTATTCTACTCTATTCATCCTTCTGATTCTCACACTTCTTACGGTTTGCATTTTCATTGAGAATTGAGAGAGATACTTGGGATTTTCGTGCTCGCTATTTTTTCTGGTTTTCTTCAAATTCAGCCTTGTACAGTTTATATAAATTTGGCGTGAGGGTACCATTAGAATCGTCTTGAAGAGACGAAGCTAATGGTACCGGTCTGGTTCTCTAATTCTACAGTTTGAGGAACCTCAATTTAGGGCGTCTAGAGGTTGAAGACGACCTACGCGTCGTGATTCAACCAATGATAGTGTGACATATGATTTTTTGAATTCCATCCAATGCATCTGTTTTATCATGCGCGTGTCAAAGGAACCCTTAGATCTGATTACTTTCATTAGTCATACTTCATCCAACGTGCCGCATTTAAAGTTGTTTTTATTTAATAAAGATTGATTCCGCGTGATTTGTTTAGAAAATGAATGAGGTATGACCCTCTATTTTAGGGAATCAAATAGAATGCTCAAGCATGTGGAATGATGAGATTTAGAGAGAAATTATGTGAACCTGATACACGAGGAATGTGTGATTCGTTTAGCATCAAAACTCACTCAATCCTTGCATTTCAAAGCTCTAATCCACTTTGGCAAGTTGGTTAAACATGTTTAGACCAAAAACGCGAGCTAATTTGATGTTTATAAGCCACAACATGAATTTCAAATTCTGACTTGAAGTGAAACTTCAGTTTCAAGGTACCATTTTCAAATCAATAGTGTGCACGATTTAGGGAACCTTAGGACTTGATTCTTGTTGCATTGAAAAGATCATATTACAAAATTTACAATGTGCCAAGAATGGAATCAACTGGATGCTTGAGCTGAAAACTGTGATCAGTCAAAGTTGAGAAAAATAGGTTGACTTTTGTACTTGGAAAATTTCTAAATTTTTCTTCAAAAGTGACCTATAATGTCTTGCATCCAAACATGGCCTTCCATTTGAAATTTTCTCTTGACCAAAAAAGATGGCAAGAA